AGCTATCTTACAATAGTCAAACTCACAGAAATAGAAGCAAAATTGATAGGTGCCAGAGGCCAAGGGTGGATTAATATTTAAGGGTTCAGACTTTCAGTTTTAGAAGAGAAAAAAGTTCTGGGCATCTGTTGCACAGTATTAACTATACTGAATTTTTGTAAATCATAATTTTTCTCTATGATTTTTGTTCTTGAGATTTTCATACTCATATACAGTGAAATAACATATCTAACTCCATTTCCCAACTCCTTCATATCTCTCCCAACATATTCTCCTCCCAACCTCATCTTTTCTTCTTCTATTTTTGGCTAACTCACTAAATCCAGTTAGTGCTTGAGTATGGGGTCATTCGGTGGAACATGGGGAACCTACCAGAAGAAACACTCTCAAGTAAGAGTGATTCTCCTTCCCTCAGCAGCTATCAACTGTCAATAGCTCCTCAGTTCAGGAGGGGGGCCTGGACAGTATGCTCCTTTCTATTCCAGAATTTTGGCTAGCTTGATCTTGTTAAAGGCTTATCTTTTAGTGGCTGGGGGATGACCTACTGGTTGGGAGCACTTATTTCTGTTCTAAGGGTTGGGTTTAGTTTAACTGCCAGCAGTCTCCTGGCAACTCCAACTCAGTTCCAGGGACCCACCAATCCTCTCTCTGGTCTCAAGCACTAGGCACACATATGGTGCACAGACATACATTCAGGCAAAGCTCTCATACCCATTAAATTATCTTTTAACATATATGCTAAAACATTACGACTGAAATTAGATTCAAAATATTCTGAGGGGAGTATATGGTCATACATGAAATACAAGCAACAGCAACTGAGACTCCATAAAGCTAAGCTATAAAGAACCATTATAGCATTCTTTGTATGTTTGAAGCTTTCAGTGAGATGTTTAAACAATCAAGATAAGGAAGCTGAAAAATAAATCAACAGAAATGATAGACAAAACAGTTAAAAAAATCTCTACCTTAGTGGTGGTGGTACACGCCTTTAATCCCAGCTCTCAGGAGGCAGAGGCTGGTATATCTCTCGTGAATTTGAATTCAAGGTCAGCCAGGGCTACACAGAGAAACCCTGACTCAAAAACAAAACAAAACAAAAAACAAAATCCAACCAACCAAAAACCAAAAATTCCCTGAAGAATTAACAAAAACAAAAAGGACACACAGAAGAAGCAGAAGGTTAGAAGGCCACAAAGTTGAAGTTAATAGGAGTCCCAGAGAGATGAGGCAAACAGATGGTAGAACTCAAAGAACCATCTTGTGTACATAACAATGCCTTTGCACTCTCTGATGTTGGTAGGGACATCATTTAAAGGCATTCTTGCCAGGCAGTGATGGCAACATGCCTTTAATCCCAGCACTTGGGAGGCAGAGGCAATCGGATTTCTGCGTTCCAGGCCAGCCTGGTCTACAGAGTGAGTTCCAGGACAGCCAGAGCTACACAGAGAAACACTGTCTTGAAAAACAAACAAACAAAAAAGGCATTCTTTTGGTTGTTTTACTGAAAATTTTTCTTAAAATGTCCCAGAAGTGTTCATACATGAGCAACTAGTATATGCTTATGTTTTTAAATGGTTACTTACATTTTATTGCATTATTTGTATGTGTGGAGGCCAGACAACTTGTGGGAGCTGGTTTTCTTTTTCCACCTTGTAGATTGAACTCAGGATGTCAGAACTGGCAAAATATTGCTTTTACCCACTGTGAATTACTTTCCCAGCCCTATAATTCTAATAGCTGAGTGTACACATCTATAATGCAACCAAAATTCAGAAATTTGACTTCTAGGAATACTTTACACATCCAAGTGGAAAGACGCTATTAAAAACATTTTAATTGAAATTGTGCTTTGAGTAGCAAATACCTACAAAACTGTTAAGAGGAATTAAGGTACATTTATTCAATATATTCATTAAAAATTGTATCTACACTTGCAAATACAAAATACGCTACAGATATGCAATCAACAGTAAAAATAACATATAGACTACACACATACCAATATTTAGCGAGAAAAATAAATTTCAAAAAAATCCTCGAATTTGTGGACACATGGATGGAACTAGAGAATACTAAACCAGGCACGGAAAAATACTTCATGTTGTCTCATGAGTGGAAGCTAGGGTTAATCCAAGAAGAGAGAATAGGGCCATAAGGGGCTAAAAAAGGGAAAGAATGAAAATAAAAATATTGGACAACCAGTACCGAATCGTGACACTGGAGTAAGTTTCAGCATTTTACAGAACAGTAAGTGACTATCAGCATAACTGCTATTTTACAAAGCAGTATGAGCGATTCAGATTCACAGCATAAAGTGGATGCAGATTCAAACTACCCAGATCTGATTACATGCTGTATTTGTAGAATCGCACTGACGCTGTGCTTGTACAAACAAGCCAATTGCCTAGCATGTGAGACCTTGAGTTTGGTTGCTGAAAATTTTTTAAAATTTCTATAGATTGATGAAAATGTAACAATTTACAATTTTAGCAACACAATTGGGGGGCATGTACACTGTTAATGAAAATGGTAACTATAAAATATGCTAGTCCAAGGACAGATATAAAGATTCATTTCACTTAGTTTCAAAAGATAAACCTCATTTGCACCATGTTCTCCAGTTACAACTTACCATGTCTTCCAATGAGCATGACCCAGTTAAAAACCTCACAGCTGGGGTCTCAGATTTCTTAAAGAATCCTTTCAAATAACTAATACCATAGGCTAGCATGTCCTTGGGAAATCCATGCCCACAGTGAGTGAATCTTGGCTTCACTCAAGTGTATCTCAGGCAGAATGAAAACACCCATATACGGTTTTCCTAAGTCACTGAAGAATCTAGTCATAAGGTTTATAATTTGATTTGGCCTTCCACTCCAAGAACCTAAAATTGGAATTTGACTCTGAAGCCAAAGCTTTCCACTCAACATCTTTTGCCTGTTTTATTTTACACTCATAAACCATATACAAAGTCCCAGCAATGTCAGATGCAGAAACCTGAGACTGTAATAAAGCGGCTTCAATGCTAAATTGCACTTCTAAAACAGCAGTGCTCTCAATCAGAGGAAGTTAATTTCTGTCTTTAACTTACACTCATACAAGATTCACAGAATCAATGACTCATGCTTACTACCTGGTTAGCCTATCCTTAGATTCAAGTCTCTAAAAGTGACTTTCCAAGGAAGTATTGATTCCCAAATAGTTTTGAGACTGTCCTGGCTAGTGTAAACTATGTAGACCAAGCTGGCTCTGACACTAGAGACCCACTTGCTTCTGCTGGGATTAAAGGCCTTAGTTACCAAATTATTTTTGAATTTTAATTTCTAAGCATTAACTTTAATCAAAGCACTTACATAATGGAAACAATTCATGGGTGAAGATATAACTTTACCCACAAACAAAAACATTCTTTGCCCTAAATGATGTTTTCATGGAAAATCTCATATAACTCTCAACATGCTAGCTATCAAATTTACATACTCGATTAACCTGTTGGACTTTTCCACTGTTAACTGATATACAGGAAGGTTCAGTCCATTATGGGGAGGTACCACTCCCAGGCAGGTGGGCTTAAGACTGTAAGGTAGCTGAGGAAGCAAGCCAGTAAGTAAATCAACAAGTCTAGTCCAAAAGTAAAAGCCTAGGCCCATATCCAAAGGCAGGATAGTGCAATTTGTGTTAAGAAATTAAATTTGCTAGGTAGTCATGGTGGCATACACCTTTCTTTAATCTTAAGCATTCAGATCTCTGACTTAGAAGCCAATCTGGTCTAGAGTTCAAGGACAGAACTATATAGAGAAACCTCAATAAAAAAAACCATTTCACAAATAGTATTTACATATTCACTAAGTACTTCTAGAAACTCTAATAGAAAGGTGTTCATGTTTATCCACTGTATAAAGGACACTAATAGTCCACACAATCTGTAGAAGGATTTTAAAAGGCTAGAGTTCTTGGCTGGAGAGATGGCTCAGCAGCAGTTAAGGGCAATGATACTCTTCCAGAGGTCCTGAGATCAATTCCCAGGAACCACATGGTGGCTTACAACCATCTGGTATGGGATCCAGATGTCCTATTCTGGTGTCTGAAGACTACAGTGTACTCTCACTATATATGTATCTTTTTAAAAAAGGCTGGAGTTCTACTGTACTTAAGTGCAGCCTCAACACTAGTTCAACACAAAACCAGTTTCTACATAACTTCACTGTCTAAAACCTGCTTCAACATGCACCCGAATTCATCATAGCACATTCTAGGCTGTTTTACAGCTGAACACATGACCGAGGTCCTTTTAAGTTTTAGATGGAATAAGGGATTAATTTCAGTTGGTCAAAGTGGCATATGCAGGCTTCAGTTCACGCCTCCAAAACCAAAAGTTGTGACCTTGCAACATGAGTACTGTGATACGGGAGGTCACCCAGTTCTTATCACCTGGAAAAGCAAAGGTACACCTTGGATCTAATTTTCCTTAGTACACTAGTCTTTGGACACCTATAACCTACAAGTTACAGAAGCAAACCAGGCATAGTGGCTCATTCCTCTAGAAGGCAGAATCCACTTCAAATAACCCAGAATGGACAATACAGTGGTCCTTGCCTTTAATTTCAGTACTCTGGAAGCAGAGGCAATCAAATCAGATTGATATTTGTGGAGGCCAGCCTGTTCTGTATTGAGACCTTATCCCAAAACAAAACATCCCCAGACTTAAGGATCAAGGATGAAATCTGCTCTAACAAGCTCAGCCTTTGAAATGGCTTAGAGCCCTCTAGGAAACCAAACATCAGTTTTCAATATCTTCATTTGACCAACATGTTAGCACACCTTTATTTCTAAAAGTAGCTTAATGCTTTAGTACTTGCTTAGTGGTTAAAGAACTTGTTCTCTACCCAAGGATGCAGGTTAGGTTTCCAGCATCTACCCAGTGGTTCAAAAGAACATCTGCTGGCATCTCTGTGACACACTCATACATGAAAAAAAAAACTGAATAAAAGCCAGCAGATTTTACCAATTAAGTCAATTTATTTCAACAGCTGACTTAGGCATCTGCAATGGTGACTTCAACCTCCACTCCGGGCTCAATACTGATGGAAGTAATCTGCTTAACAATCTCAGAAGGACTATGTAAATCAATGAGTCGCTTGTGGATTCTCATCTGGAAACGATCCCATGTCTTGGAACCTTCGCCACAAGGTGTTTTTCTGGTAGTGATTCTCAATGTCTGCAATAAAACACATCAGGTATTTGGCCCCTAATTAGCTTGTTTGTGATCTTAAGAACGTTAAGTTTAATCTTAGAATTTCTTTGGCTATCAAAACCCGAATCTGACACCCTCCACCCACCACTAGTAGACTCTACCTGCTGCTTACCTTGGTAGGCATGCGCACTGGTCCTTTCACTTTCAGATTCTTTTCCTTTGCGCCTCTTATCAGGTCCGCGCAAACTGCAGGTGAAGAAAACATGGCCTTTCAGGTAATTCAGAATGACTCGAATCGTTTTAAAGCAATTTAGCCTATCGGCTCAGAATAGCGTATAAAAACATCACCCTAATTCAACACAGAAAGTATCTCCTCATGGCCGACTGCGCCACGGCTACGGCGCAAGGCACCACTAAACAATCCACCCAAAGAGCTGTACTGACCTTTCTCCAGCGACTTCACGTTGCGGCTGGTGAGCGTGATTCGAATTCGGTGAATCGCCACTTCAGGCTCCACGGGCGTCTTTCCGGTATCTTTAAATGCCTGTTATCACACAGGCAGAAAATCAAACAGCGAACTGTAAGTCGCGGCCCACTCCTACACAACCGCCATCCGGACCCTTTCCCGGGCCCTCGCCGCGGCGGGAGCCCTCTCCCGTGATCTGCGCTCCTGGCGCCACGGAACTCGAGCCCAGCCGATGCCCCAGGCCGCGTGGCGCCGTCCCCCACCTCACCATGGCTAAAGCGCGGCTTCCTGACCGACTTGTTCCTCAGCAGGAGCGAACAGCGGTGAGTCAGGACGGAGCAGGCTGGAAAGAGCTCCGCAGCACGCACCACCAGATCTCAGAAAGGAGGGCGCAGAGTGCGTCAGGCGCTTATATAGTACGTTCGCATCCGGGTCCTATGTGACCCGGAACAGGAACCGCCCCGCACGCGAAGAGGTCGCCGCGGGAGGCAGGGCTTCCTAGTTGGCGGGAAAGATGAGATCGCGCGCGCCCCCTTGCGTCTCGGCGGAATCACTGCCCTGAACCGGAGGACAGAAGAAGCTGGAGCAGAGAAAACTCTTGTCAAGTGCTCCGTGCATAGACACCTATGGTCTTTACAATGAGAAATGTGCTTTGTATGCGTACCCAATCAATTTACTTTTGTCTGACAAGGGAAGAATTTTTTTGAGATTAGCTGCCACGGACCTTGGGAAAGAAGGATTCTGGCAAGCCAGGTGTTTGCTTTTATTTACTTGGTGCTTGAGACGGAATCCAGGGCTCAGCAGGAAAAAGCACTCCACTCATGAGCTGACACCCTGAGTTCCATCCTGTGAATCCTTGGTAGAAGAAGAGAATTGTTTTCGGAAACTTGTCTACTGATGAGAGCTGTGGCACTCACCCCACCTCCACCCCCCATTAATTACTAAGATTATATTCTAAAAATTATTCGGAAACTGTTTATCAGAGCTGAAATGCCCTTTTGTGATAGTCTGGCTTTGTGCTACCTGGAATAGTGGAAACGTCTATATGTGCTAAAAAAAAAAAAAAAAAAAAAACGAGTTTAGCTTTTGTTTTTTCAGTTAAGTGAAGGCAGAACTCTAGGCCCAGTGCTCTGTCGGGTCACTGGACATTGTACCTGCAGCCCTGCCTGGAACTCATCTATCCAGTTTTAACACATTCTCTCCTCTATGGTGAGGTGAAGCAATATGTATTGGCTGAGACCTCCGAGGACTCCTTAGAACGGAGCATCTGTTCATAATAAAATTCTTGTCCAAGCAAAGCAGAAAAAAAGCCAAGCGAGGTCAAATGCCCTAAGAAGCAGAGAATGGTGCAGGTTAATCTCCCCTCTGCACTACCTACTGTGTAAGGATTAGGCCTTGGTCAAATGGAATGGAAGCCCTGAGGTGGGTTACGGACAAAACAGGAGGAAATAACATTATTTGCAGGTGAAAGTTATTTGCTCAGAGTTGCCAAACCCAGAGCACTGATTCCCTTCCAATGAGAACTTCTTTGAAAGCTATTCTCTCTGATCTTGCTTGATGATAATTCGACCTAGCTCCTAACTGGTTTTCTGACTCACAATGTACAAGAAGTTTTGCTGTCATTGAATAATTAAGGTAAGTGTTAAAGTTGGGCAATTTTTCAAGTTCAATTATTTTTAAATATAAACCATTGACTGTTTAGATTCTACTAGTAGATTTCACAGCATTAAAAAAAAATCTGAATTCCTTTTTTCTTTTCTTGCCTATTTGTTTTTGTTTGAGACAGAGTTTCTTTGTGTAGCCCTTGCTGTCCTGGAATTATTATGTAGACCAGGCTGGCCTGAATCCTGAGATCCACCTGCCTCTGCCTCATTGAGTGCTTGGCTTATTTTGTTTTTTTAAGACTTAAGTAGTCTGGGCTGCCCTGGAATTTACAGAGATTTTACCTGCCTCTGCCTCCAGAGTACTGGGTGGGATTAAAGGCATTGGCCACCACCATAGCTAAATCCTGCATTTTTACTTTATTAGCTGTGACATCAACTTTAAATCTTGCTTAATGTATTAATAGGGCTATCTGCAGCAAATAAACAAATGCAGTAATAGTCCAGCTTCCTGAGGTGTGATCTGTATCAGCAGTAACATCTTCAAAGGCCTGTACTCAGTGTTCCAAGCTTGTCCAGAGGCTCAACAGGGTGCTTGAGAAGGACAAGTTTATATATGTGTGTGTGTATATACATACATGTGTGTGTATACATATTTACACTGACTTCAAACTTAAGGTCCTCCCACTCCCATTTTTCCAGTGCTATAGGATTACAGGTAACTGAAACCACTCCCAGCAAGAATTATTGACAGAAACAAATCTTAGACTTTCCTTACTTCTTAAGATTAAACACTGGAGGAAATGGCAAGCATAGTGACTTCTTGAACAATAAGAAAAGGAATTCTAAGATAGTCACTGTGGCATGGGGAGTGACTTAGCAATGGAACCTCTGCCTGGTATGCCCAAGGACTTGAATTGACCTTAAGCACCACACAAAGAAAGAACGATGAAGAAAGATCAATGAGAAACAGGTAAAATACATCCCAAATTTATGTGAGCGGAATTAATCCCCATACCTAAAAGGCAGAGTAAGGTAGATCTCTGTGCGTGCAAGGCCCACCTAGTCTACACAGTGAGGACTTTGTAGAAACCCTGTCTCTAAGAAAAGAAGGGAGGGAAAGGTTGGCTCAGCAGTTAAGAGCCTTGCTATTCTTTCTTTCTTTCTTTCTTTCTTTCTTTCTTTCTTTCTTTCTTTCTTTCTTTCTTTTTTGTTTGTTTTGTTTTTTGTTTTTCGAGACAGGATTTTTCTGTGTAGTCCTAGCTATCCTGGAACTCACTCTGTAGACCAGGCTAGCCTCGAACTCTTGAACTCAGAAATCCGCCTGCCTCTGCCTCCCAAGTGCTGGGATTAAAGCCGTGCGCCACCACCGCCTGGCCGAGCCTTGCTGTTCTTGCAGAGGACCTGATTTGGTTCCCAGCATCCACTTGGTGGCTCATAGTCACCTGTAATTCTTACTTGCTGGATACCAGGCACACATACATACATGCAGGCAAAACATTTATACAAAAAAGACATAAATATTTAAAGAAGAGGTTTTTAAAAAAGAAAGTAAGGGGGATTTTACTTTAGAAATTGTAATTATGCCTGAGCCTGTAGCTTGACTGCAGAGCACTTGCACAGGGTACACGAGAATTGGTTCAACCCCCATCGTCACACTAAATACATAAAAACAGTATATATCCGAGAAACCCCACCTTTAGTTATCTGTTAAATCCTTATCTCACGGCTAGGGAGATATCTCGGCAGTTAAGAGCACTTAAGGGTTAAAAGTGGAAGGCTTTTGATTAGCTGTACCTCCAGCTCCAAGGGATCCCTCCTCTGACCTCTGTGCATACCAACATACAAGTAGCATACACTAACAGATATATGTTCACAATAAAAATAAATATTTTTTTTTTTTTTTTTTGGTTTTTCGAGACAGGGTTTCTCTGCATAGTCCTGGCTGTCCTGGAACTCACTCTGTAGACCAGGCTGGCCTCGAACTCAGAAATCCGCCTGTCTCTGCCTCCCAAGTGCTGGGATTAAAGGCGTGCGCCACCACCGCCCGGCAAAAATAAATATTTTTAAAGTCAGTGTCTGTGGTGGTTTGAATATGCTTGGCCCAGGGAATGGCACTATTAGGAGGTGTGACCTTATGGGAGGAAGTGTATCACTGTGGGTATGGGCTTTGAAACACTCCTTCTAGCCAGGTTGGAGCAGTCTTCTCCTGTTCGCCTTTGGAACAAGATGCAGAATTCTAGATCCTCCTGCACCATGCCTTCATGGATGTTGCCGTGCCCCTGCCTTGATGATAATGGACTGAACCTCCGAACCTGTAAGCCAGCCCTAATTAAACGTTGTCCTTCATAAGTGTTGCTTTGGTCATGGTGTCTCTCTACAGCAATGGAAACCCTAAGTAAGACAGTATCTCCAGGAGATACCTTCTCATGTTCATTGCACTGTTATTCACAATAATCAAGATATGGAAACAACAACAGACACACAGATATGATGGAGTATCACCTGCCCTTAAAGGGAAAAAAAAGGAAACTCTGATGTATACCAGTGAGGTTGTTGGCATTGTATTAATGGAGCTGGGAAAACAAATAGCGTGTGCCCTCAGAGATGTGTTATTTTAAAGGTCCAACTCACAAAGGCTAAGGAGAAAAGTGGTTCCCAGGGACTGCAAGGTCTAGAGAGATGTTCAGCAAAAATCATTATTTTAAATTTTGCTAGTTTTCATTTCAAATTTCTTGCCGCATTTATCTTTTGAAAATTAGAAGTTACAGTGCCCCCTAAATTTCCATCTAAAAATCAATTTTCTGTGTTATTATGTAAGGTGGTCATCAAAGGAAAAGTAGAAATTAACAATAAGCAAAACGTTAAAGGAAAACTCACATTTTCACCATTCCAAAATAAAGAATTTACACCTTTAGGTATATATATATATATATATATATATATATATATATATATCTTTTAAAACATATGGCCTATATTCTATGTACAATGTGATTCAAAGACTATTTAATTATAATAAGTATATTTCTGTTTCATTCTTTCTATATTTTAATTAAAATTATTATTGTTCTAATTATTAGTGTGTATCTGTATTATGATGCATGTGTATGTGTATGTGTGTGTCTGTGTGTGTGTTGTGTGTATGTAGGTCAGAGAACAATTCTCTCATTCCACCGTTATTTTTGGTTGTGAGTCCAGACTTTAATGGGTGAGCCATTTCTCCAGTCTTCATTCCACATTTATTTACATGGAATCCAGGGATCAAACTCAGGTTGTCAGACTTGGAGTGTCCAGCAGTAAGCACCGTTACCTGTTGAGTCTTTGCCAGCCCCATTTCATCTTGTTTAATGACAATTGTGACTGAAGTCTCTAAAGAAACCATATCTGTATTGAAGACCAGCGGCCTGACCCTAATTTCCCCATGAAGAAATGCTAGGTTACAGATGGGAAGCCATTTCCTTGTGCTCCCTTTAGCCCCTTAATGGCTATTTGTAGCCAATCTATGTCTCTTCTAGCAGTTTTGTGACGATTTGTTAAAACCTTTGGACTATGTTATTTATCTGACTACTAACTTCTTCCACCCCTAAATCTAAAAGTTAGAAAGTAGCATCAGCAGCCTACAGAAGAGACTTCCCTCACTCTGCTATACTGGACCACTTCATGTCGCCATCAACATGTCTTCTCAGGACATTGATTTAGGGCTTTTTAAAATTTAGTTCTGGGGTTCTAAAACTTCACGTAATCTCTCTAAAGTGGGACATGTCGTTCAGAGTTACC